ACCAGCCCAAACTTGTATGGTTCTATGGCTGGCTGCTGCTCCTATTTCTGAACATGCTCAACATATTTAAAGGGGCAACACACATCTCAGTCACTCATACATTTTGTGTTTCTCTCCCTCTCTCTCTCTCTCTCACTCACTCCCACACACACAGAGAGAGAGAGAGAGAGAGAGAGAGAGAGAGTGAGTCTGTCACATTCACCAGCCCAAACTTGTATGGTTCTAGTTACTTCTTTCCAAGTGTTATTTGCACCACAAGTCCCTGCCCCAGCCTGCTAAAAGTGAGGGCAGAGCCTCAGAGAAATAGTGGAGCAGGAGTCGGGGCTAGACAAGAGGCAGGGAAGGGGATGGGGCAAGAGGGGTTGGGTGCAAGAGTGTTTGGATTCCAGGTAGATCTTGGATTGGTCTGAAATTCAAAAAGTGATCTTGCGCTAAAAAGGTTGGAATCCTCTGGTGTGTATGATGGAAGCTACTTCAAATCCAAGCATGCAGCCATACTCCCAGTGCTGCTAGGTGCAGCACCTATGATTTTTTTGGATCACTGGTAGTTCCAAAAACAGGGGGGAAAAATCACTTCAGGCCAAATCAAAATTGCATTTTTATTTTTTGACAAATGAGAAGAATGGGGAAAAGTCCTTTTAGAGTGGAATGAAATGCTTTGCAGCAAATTTGAAAACACTTTTGAAGTTGTTAAAATAAACAAAGGACATTGCTAAACCGAAAATCACTTCACATGAAAAAATCAGATTTTCATTTTGAAAATGTTGAAAGGAAATGAAACAGTTTTTCCAGAATTTATTTTGGTAGGGCTTTTTCTTCTGATTGAAACAATTTGGCAAAATTGACATGAATTCACAAAATGTTCAATGAAACAGAATCTGTATTTTTCATTTAAAAAAAAATGGTGGAAAAATTTTGCCCAGCCCCACTTTGAAGCTGGGTGGTTGGTTTTTGTATGTGGAAATTCATAACAAACAATATCTGAGACATCAGAGTCATTTTCTCTGCCACATATAAGTCCGTACTGGAGTAAGTAAGGGTATGTCTAGATTACATGCCTCTGCTGACATAGTCAATGAAGCCGGGATTTAAATATCCCTGGCTTCATTAAAATAAAAATGGCCACCGCGCTGGGCTGGCTCAGCTGATTGCTGGCACAGCGCATGAGTCAAGACGCAGATCAGTTGACAGGGGAACCCTTTGTTGACTGCTCCCTTATGCCTCGTGGAACGAGGTTTACAGGAGTGGTCGACAAAGGCTTCCCCTGTCGACAAATCTGTTGGAATATTCTGAAACCAAAGTGAGTGGAATATGTTCAGAATATATTGCTTATCTTAATTAGGTTTTAGGTTAATATCAATTCCCTAGAAAGAGAGACTACCCCAAAGTGCAGGCAATGGCTAGGTCTAGACTACAAGTTTTTGTCAGAAAAAGCTACACAAAAAGCGCTCCGCATTTTGCATAGCTTTTTCCGATTCTTTTGTCAGACGAGGCTTTTCCAACATTTGGCCCATCTAGATTAGGCCAAATGTTGGGGAAAAACCTCTTTCAGAAGACCCCTTCTTCCTCATAGAAGGAGGAATACAGGGGCTTCTGAAAGAGAGGAATACAGGGGCTTGTGCATTTCCACAATAAAAGTGGAAGTGCAAATGCATTCCCTGGATGCAGCGGGGGGTGGGGGGTGTGTGTGTGTGGGGGGGGGCACTGTGGGAAAATGTTGACTTTTTAGGGGTGACCATTGCGGATGTTTGTTCAAGAAGCATATCAGAATAAACAGAACAGCCCGGCAGATGGTCCCTTTCTTAGCTGCAGAACACACTGGCCTTTCATACCGGACACTATAAAATGCACTTTGCTTATAGTATATTATCTGTGTTTTTTCAAGAAGCATATCAGAATAAACAGAACAGCCCGGCAGATGGTCCCTTTCTTAGCTGCAGAACACACTGGCCTTTCATACCGGACACTATAAAATGCACTTTGCTTATAGTATATTATCTGTGGGGTGAGCATGGGTACCAAGATCCTTTTTAATGAGCTGGTATTACCATCCTTCTGGGATGTGCTTTCATCCGTTTTTTCAAGAAGCATATCAGAATAAACAGAACAGCCCGGCAGATGGTCCCTTTCTTAGCTGCAGAACACACTGGCCTTTCATACCGGACACTATAAAATGCACTTTGCTTATAGTATATTATCTGTGGGGTGAGCATGGGTACCAAGATCCTTTTTAATGAGCTGGTATTACCATCCTTCTGGGATGTGCTTTCATCCTATGCCCAGTACTAGTTATTCTTTTACAGCTAGTACCTAGCACCAATTACTGTTCTGCACCTGTGCCTATTACCAATTAATGTTTCACACTATCAACCCTGTTCATACCAAGTTCTGTGAGCGGGGGCCTGCCTCTTGCTGACAGTTTAGCTTTGCTTTATATTCACAAAGTCTTGACCATTATTTGCCGTGCCTCAGGTTTCACACCAGGCCTGTGATGAATGGACTTATGTTTCAGGCCCTCATCTTACTACGGCAACCAAAGCAACATCCTTTCTAGGCTGGCTGGAGAAAAGTACAGAGTGGAAAAGTAGGGGAGACTGGTACCTAGAAGCTATGTTCCTTAATCAGGCTGCTCAGTACTCCCCTTGTATAGCAAGAGAAAATGAACAGGCTGCCTTACATGACAGAGGATAAGGAATTAAACGGCAAAGAAAGTCTTTGGGGAGACAGATTCCCACTGAGTTTGTGCTGCTGTTTGTTTTCCAGCTAACCTCTCAGAATAAAGTCGGTTGCATTTCAACTGGTGCATTTTTATTCAAGGCAGCAGAGAATGTTTTTCCTGGTAATTTTCTAGGCGCTTTGTCAGAGTACAGTGAATGGCATTCATTTAGGATTGGCTGCCGTGCTGTACCAGCAGCTTATTTAACTTAAAATTGATGTGAAAGTTGGACTGTCTTCTGAGAATAGGAGGAAGGGCCTTTGGTAAATCTGCTGTAGTGGAGGGAGGAGATTGCTCGTGGCGGTTGGAGCCTTTCGCCCTGGGTTTAGATTCTGGTGAATCAACTGCTTGCCAGCCAGTGACTGTCCATTGCTCTGTTACGGTATGTCTACACTACAGCACTATTTCGAATTAACTTAATTTGAAATAGTTAATTCAAATTAAGCTAATTCAAAATAATATTTCTACACACAAAAACTATTTCGAAACAGCATTTGTTTCACTATTTCGAAATAGCACGTCCACACTGAGTGGCCCCCGAACTGAAGTTAAGGCTGGCCGGAACCAGTGCAGGCAGGGCATCAGGTTAGGACTTAGTGTGTGGGGCTGCTGCCTAGGCTAACTGAGCTCCGTGCTTAAAGGGACCCTACCCCCACCCCGGACAGACAATTCTCAGGGTTCCCTGCTTGCTTGTCTTCCTCAATGAGGGACAGCAAAGCAGTCCTGTCTTGGAATGCTCTGAGTGCCCGCATGGAGCTAGAGCTGCCCTGGGCATGCTGGTGCGTCTCGTGGGGTCGTTGCCATCAGCTCGGCTGCATTTGCTGCAGGCTGACATCCGGAGGGTCCATTGGGGAGCTGTCAGGATCCAGAAGGCCCTGTGGGACAGCGTCCACCCCGAGGAGCCCTTAGAGTCAACCCAGTCCTCCCCACAGGGGGCTTGTGCCCCATTCTTCCCTCACATCCTTCCACTTACTCCTCCCTAGCTCCCCTTCCTGATGTCAAATAAAAGACATGTATGTTAAAAAATAGAAACTGGGTTTATTGAACAAAACTGGGGGGAGGGATGAACCTTTGGGGAGACTGGGAAAAGGAGGTGGGAGAGGGGAAGACAAAGGGTGGGAGAGGGGAGGGGGAAACCTGGGAAGAGGGAGCTGGAAGGGGAAAGCAAGGGGAATAAGGGGGAGGGGAAGCTCAGGGCCCAGGGTTGGGGGTCTCGCCGGACCAACTTGATTTTCATGTAAACCTGCCCCTGGGTTTGCATGTGTTCTTTGGTGGCCAGGCTGGCAGCTATCCTGCCATAGACAGCTGCATTCCTCCATCTCGTTCAGAGATCATGGACATTGGGGGCATCCCTCCCAAACTTGAATAAGGTCCATGATCTCCACTCTGGACCAGGAAGGCTCCTGCCTTCTCCAGCCCTGTAAGGCTCCTGTGAGCTGGCAGACTGCTCGGAGTTTTTCCAGGATACCTCCAGTATCTTGGAAAAATCCCACAGTGTAGACTTACCACTAAAGTGACTCATATGGCAGCTGCTGGGCGCTCTGCTCTTTGTAAATCAGGCCAATTGTTGAGGTGCCTTAAAATGGCCTGAGAGCCTAATTTAGGTACCAGTTTTCTGAAGTTTGGCCTACATTTTCTATGGAATTTCTGCCATTTTAGGGTACAAACTGCATGTGCATCATGGTGGCAGAGCTACATTTAAATGGAGCAGCACCCTGGCCTCTTTGTTAATGAAACTTTCAAGGTTTACCAAATTTGAATTAAGTGCTCCGCTATTTCGAATTAAATTCAAAATAGCGGTTTGCATGTATAGACACTATTAAAGTTAATTCAAAATAACGGCTGTTATTTTTAATTAACTTTGCAGTGTAGACATACCCTCAGAGATATATACTCATTCATGCTGGCCCGCTGTCCATGGCACTAAGCCGAGGTGTTAGGGAACTGCGTGGAACCAGTTATGTGGAAGAAGGGTCTATGACTCATCTCACACTTCTGCATGGGGGAAGGGTTTGGCCTGGAGAGTTTCTGCATCAGTCAGAAGGGTTTGCTGAGTGGGGCAGAGAGTCAGATTCCTTCTTGCTGAGAACTGCATTTGCAGCTGGGTTTGGGTGGACTGCCCGGGTCCAGGTGGGAGGTGGGCAGCAGGTGAAGAAGACCTTGAGGGCTCTCAGAAAGTCTTGGCTCATGTCTTGTTGGCACAACAATCTTTATTGCCCCGTACCAGACTTTCCACTTTCCCTGTCACAGGGATCTTTACTAACAAGCTCTCACTCTGCTCCAGATGGCAGTGCGATATTCCGTGGATGCTTCCATCGGCCGGACAACGTCTCGGTAGCTTTGCCTGTGAGTGGGGTAATGCTGAACATGTCTGTGGACAAGTGTGTGGACTTCTGCACTGAAAAGGTAAGTAGGAGAGCGATGGGGTCCCACCAAGTGAATGGGGCTGTAGGCAAAGGGCCTGACACACACCTCCAATTTCAGTGGCGTAAATCCCCACTAGAGTCCAGGGTGTGTCTGAAGCGACCTGGGTACAAGTGGGGAAGGATCGAGCTAAGAATCTTTCCAGCGCTCTGCATATGCTTCAGAAGAGTCACATTCAGATCATACTCAATACATTGTGATCCAACATAGTGGAATAATTGCATGTGTCCAGAATACAAGAGGTAAAATTGACAGCTCATGTCTTTGCCATGCAAAAAGTAGGCGCTCAATCCCAGTAGAAAACAATGCTGGGGAATCACTAAATTTCTCCTTTCATTTAGTCAGTAGCCTGCCAGAGTTTTATCCCTTAGTAGTAGCTTTACTTGTACAAATCTACATGAGCTTTACAGAAGATTTGTATACTGTTGGCTTGGTTGAGTCAAGATTTGACTCCGCTCGTTCTGACTACTTCCCACTGTAAAATGTCAGGACAGATATTTAGCTGCTGTGATGACCATCACTCCACTGAAGGTCTGGGTTGGAGGCAGCTCTAACCCATGTTCTTAAGGTTGATGGGCAAGTTTCTCTTCACAGAACAGGAAGAATGTGGGTTTCCAGCCTACTACCAGGAAAGCAGCCAGGGAAGAGAGTAGGGACACTAATGATTCTGGAGGGCTACCTCTACAATGGCATGATTTTCCGAAAATGCTTTTAACGGAAAAGTTTTCTGTTAAAAGCATTTTTGGAAAAGCGCGTCTAGATTGGCAGGAAGCTTTTCCGCAAAAGCACTTTTTGCGGAAAAGCATCCGTGGTCTATCTAGACGCGGTTTTCCGCAAAAAAGCCCTGATTGTCATTTTCGCGATTGGGGCTTTTTTGCGGAAAACAGTACTTGCTGTCTACACTGGCCCTTTTGCACAAAAGTTTTTTGGAAAAAGACTTTTACCCGAATGGGAGCAGCATAATATTTCCGGAAAAGCACTGGAAATTCAAGCAGCCAGTGTAGACAGCTGGCAAGTTTTTCCGCAAAAGCAGATGATTTTGCGGAAAAACTTGTCAGTCTAGACACAGCTGAGAAGTGTGGGAGGCTGAAGTGGGAGAGAGATGGGACTGATATGTGGGGAAGAGTGGGCCAGATAAATCGTGGGAAGGGGGAGGGGGCCGTGCCTGGAGAAGAGAAGGAAGCTCTAGCGGAAAGAAAAGAAGGGCTTGTGAATCAAAAATGGGATCTGGCCATAGAGACCCCAAGAGAGGAGGGTGGGTTACAGGACCTTCCAGAGAACAAGTTGCAGCTTTGCTTAACTTTGCGGGGTGGGGTGGGGAGGTTATGAATGGTCCCAGAGTTTCATGCAGTCCCTGGAAGAGTCATACAGCTTTTTCTCCAGTCCAGGGCCCTTCTGCTGACACAGCCCACAAGGGGCCATGTGCGAGGGTGGGGTTGATGACCCTGGATGTCCCCTTCTCTAGGCCATGAACTGTTGGGACGTACACTGCCTAGGAGCTATCAGGTGACCGTGAGCCAGCCAGGACCCAAGAGCCATTAAGACATCATGACTTTGGTCACACTGGTGACTGGGGCCCAATTTCATCCTTGTTGTGTCTTATTTAATCAAGGCAGTTGACTTATTAGAGTAACTGGGCTTGGTGGCAGAAGAAGAAAGGTCCCCCAGATGCTACATGGGGTGACCTGGGTACTAAGAACATCGGTGTGGTGGCCTTTCGGCCTGGTGCTGCACCTCAGCTCTGCACAAAGGAGATTTCTGTATGGTTGCCCACAGCAAGCCCATTTCTCAGGACAATCGGCTACTGAGTAAGAGGGGAAGGCATGGAGCTAGAGGAACACTTGTTTTATTTCTCCTGATGCCCTGCAATCATGTACATGGGCAGTGGCTGCAGAGGCCAAACATGGTCCCAAGCTGTGCACACTGTTGTGAATTGCACAGCAACTTGCTCGTGCATGGGCAAAGTGGTTGGACTTGCATCTGTGGGATAAGTTGGGCTAAGTCCCATCTCTGCTTCTGTGGTCACTTCTATTTCAATGTTGCTCCCTTGGTGTCAAAGGGACTACCCCCCCCACCACCTGCCCCGTTTACACCAGCTGAGATTTGGACCTGAGTGAGGTGTCTCTGACCTAAACTGCACATCAGTCTAGTATCTTGCTGAGCAGTGTAACAGCTGAGTGGGAAAGCAGCAAGGTTATGCCAGCCACTTACAAGGTCAGCTCCTGATCTCATGCTTTAATCAACACAGATGAGTCCATAGGGCCTCTTCTGTGCCAGACTTTTGCTATACCAGAATACGCAAATGTTAACATGTATGGTGAGATTTTTACTGGTGTTTAATCTATTCAGTTTGACTGTCAATTAAAAGAATGAAAGCAATTAAATAAGCCAACAAACTTGCTGGTGGCTCTATGACCCAAAATAACAAATTCATGTCTCACCTCCTGCAGTACATTGATGTCTAGAAGTCTGGCCACAACACTGGAAAATGTAGAATGCATTAGAGGACACTGTAGATTTATAGGGATGGCAGAAGATAATTTCCTTCCTGGCCCCAGCTCTGGTCACCGTTTTCTGTCCTGAAGCACCAAGATTGTTCATTCTTACAATGTCTAATGTAACTGCAGATGTTACTCAAATAGGTTGAATTGTCTGGCAGCAGCAAGTTACTCAGCAAACAATCCCTATAGCTTACAAGTGTCACATGGGGCTACAAAGCCACTCCCAACATAGTGAGCTTCACATGGAGAGTGCCTTGCAAAATGCTGTTACGAACGCAGGGTTGTCTCTACCCAGACACAAAACACACAGCCATGTAAGGCAGCATGAAAGTTGGGGCACCAAATTGCCCCACATTTCATGGTGTCCTGCAGAGCTCACTCTCCCCTACCCACACAGGTTCAGTGCCATGGCTCCAGCAGTGAGCCTCCAGCCCCCACTCACTAAAAGGTGTTCACAGGCCTGAAGACTCACAGAGCAGGGGTGCAGCTGTGGTGCTTAAAGTGCCACTTCTCTCCAGCTAGCTGCATAGCCACTTGTTGCTCCTCTAGCCCATGCTTCACTCCTGGCCCTGCTCCTGTGCTGCCAGCTCTCCCTGACTGGGCACCATTTAAATTAATGGCGATTACCTATCTCCTAGAGCAGGAAGGGGACCTTGCAAGGTCATCAAGTCCAGTCTCCTACCCTCACAGCAGGACCAAGTGCCATCCCTGACAAATTTTTGCCCCAAATGGCCTCCCCAAGGATTGAACTCACAACCCTGGGTTTAACCAGGCAATGCTCAAACCACTGAGCTATCCCTCCTTATGGTAAAGGTAGCAATGGGCCATCTGATCGGGGAAAGTTGGCAACCCCCCTCCTGCACCGCTCCCTCTCCTGCCCCTGGCGGAGAGGCTGCTCGCGAGGAGGACGAGGGAAGTGCTGATACTAAGCTGTGTATGTATGGCTCTGTACGAACTAATGAACCTCCATTGTCTGGCGATGACAACTGTCCTGGGACTCAGTCCCTATCAGCTCTGAGGATGCCCAGGCATATGCTTAAATAGCTGTCATATAATCAGGCCTCCCATCCTGCACCTGCTGTCCCCGGACATCTCCCTGCTGTCACGTTTCAGTGCTGTAGAGGGAGGTCGCGCAGATGCCTGGCAAATGGATGGCTAAGAAAGGGATTTGAGAACACTTTATCTAGACGCAGCAGCTTTCCCTGGCTGTGTCTCCATACACACCCCACTGAGCAAGCTCCCCCTACTGCTTGACAGACAAGGAGCCCCATTAAAAGCTGCCAGGTTCCCTGCACTCTGTCACATTGCATAAACACGAGCAGTGGCTCCACACCTCAGCCCTGCTTTGTTCTCGCTCCCCTGAGAGCTTGGCTCTCGGAGGTGTAAATAAAATCCTGAGCTCTGAGCCCCTTGATTAACCCAGCATCGCCACAGCCCTGGGTGTTAAATTGCCTGTCAGTCTCCAAATGTTCCCCCATAACTCTGCACTTTAAAATCCAAATGAGGTCACAGAAGATGCAGTCTATGGGCTTTTAGTAACCTTACGCTGGATGACAAACTCACAAATTACAGGAGAACCATTAGGCCGTGATTCTAAGAGGAGTATCATAGCTCCAGATATATCGCCCCCTGCACTAGCAAATAGCTTGGAAATTTTCAGCACAGCTGGGCGAGGAGGTGCTGGAAATACTAGAAATCTGGTAGGCTTTATTTCTGCCAAAGGCAAGCTGCTGTTGCTAGCAATGCAGCATTGCGGCTGGCTGGCAAGGAGAAATAACACCTAGCCCTTCACAGGGCAGGACTCCAGGAATGGTTACACAAGGAGATACTGCCAGTTTGCAGTAATGCACCTGACAGAAGGATTTGGCCCACAGAACACATTTCATTTACAAAGCCGCTGTGTGCCCTGCACCAAATTAGTGACATGGGGCTCTGTATTATGAGGCTGCTGAAACAGAGGGGTGATGGACTGAGTGGTAGAGCTGAGATTAGAAGTGAGCTTTGACAGCCTCATTTCTGCTCCTGCTCTTACATACCATGGAAACAGGTGGTGCAATGCTCAGCATCAGGGCATGCAATGTTTAGGCACCTACTTAAGTCCCAAGGGAAGCTCTGACATCCACAAAGTCTGAGTGAGCCACTCAAATCCCTTAGGTGGTGAATCAGGACAAAAAGGTGCCTATTTTGCAGCAGAATGCAATTTACAAAAGCCAGCACATTGCACGGAGATACAGCTAGACTCATGGGAGATGCCCAGAAGAGAGGTGCGTGCCAAGGTAGCCAATGGGAGATCCCTAGGAGAGGGGTGTGCACCACCTTAGCCAATAGGAGATGACCGGAAGAGGGGTGTGTGCCGAGGTAGCCAATAGAAGATACACGGGGGGGAGGGGGGGGAAGTGCCAAGGTAGCCAATAGAAGATGCCCAAGAGAGGGCTGTGTATCAAGGTAGCCAATGGGAGATGCCCAGGAGAGGGGGTGTCCTAAGACCCATCCAGAGCCACCAACAAAAGTGCCTATAGACCTTGTACCATCGAAATGTAGGTGCCTAGAGGGTCAGTGTGTGTGTGTGTATGTATGAGAGAGAGAGAGAAAGAGGGTGAGGGGTGAGTTGTACATTGTAGTGGTACCAAAATTGCAGTGCCCAACTCCTTTTGTGCAGAATATAAGAACGGCCATACTGGATCAGAGCAAAGGTCCATCTAACCCAGTGCCCCAGAGGGAGGGAACAGAACGGGTAATCCTCACATGTGATCCTTCCCCTGTCACCCATTTCCAGACAAACAGAGGCTAGGGGCACCTTTCCTACCCATTCTGGCCAATAGCCATTGATGGACCCACCCTCCATGAACTTATGGAGCTCTTTTTTAAACCCTGTTCCAGTCCTGAAGAAGAGCTCTGTCCTCTCTGTGCCTCTGTTTTCATCTGTACAATGGGGACAGTAGCAGGCATGAAAGATTGTGAGGTGCTATGGAGTCCATGGATAGGCAGAGAACTGTCTGCCTGTGCAGGTCACCATGCAGAATCAGGGCCTTAGCGCAAGCCAGTCCCGAGGGGTGTGCTTTTGCAGCAGTCACTCTTGCCATTCCCAGCCATTTTGCAGCTCCTGATGCAAACAGTCTCTGGCAAGGAAGATGGAAATGCTTCTCCCAAGTCTTGTGACTTGGCACCATGATTATTCCTGTTTTACCTGGAGGGAAGGGATAGCTGTGGCAAACCTCAGCTCCCAAAGTGGCTGCCAAGAGACTCCAGCCTCCAGGGCTGTCAGCCAGCCTCCCAGCCTGGCTGGGCAAGTTCGCCCTAGTTTCTTAAAACTACCTAGGTGGGCTCTGGAGCAGCTTGGGTTAGCCACCCACACTCAGGCCCCCCCACAGTTAGTTAGATCTGAGCTTGGGCTGTGACGCTGCTGGTTTTAGCTGAGCTAGTGCAAGTTGATCTGGGCATGGGAGGCTGACCCCCAGCTGCCATGTGGACTGACTCTCTGATAACCCAGGAGAACTAAAGAAAACACCTTCCAAGGTCCCTGTACTCAGCCATTCACCCACATTAAATTAGGGCCTAAGTATGTTGCCCCTGAGAAGGATGGGAGCTCAGGGGGGCTATGAGAGAGGTCTGTAAAATCAGGACGGGTGTCAAGAAAGGAAATAAGGAAGTGTCATTTACTCCTTCTCATCACACAAGAGCTAGGAGTCACTCACATGAAATTAGTAGGTAGCAGGTTTAAAACAAACAAAAGGAAGTTTTTTTCACAGTGTGTACCATCAGTCTGTGGAACTCCTTGCCAGAAGAGGTTGTGAATGTCAAGACTATAGCAAAGAGCTAGATGCATTCATGGAGGTTAGATCCATCAGTGGCTATTAGCCAAGAAGGGTAGGAATGGTGTCCCTAGCCTCTGTTTGTCAGAGGGTGGAAATGGGTGACAGGGAGGGATCACGTGAGGATTCCCTGTTCTGTTCTTTCTCTTTGGGACACCTGGCATTCACCACTGTGGGCAGATAGGACACTGGGCTAGAAGGACCTTTGGTGTGTCCCAGTGTGGCTGTTCTTACATTCTTATGCTATGGATGCTGATGGCAGCAGAAATGGGCCCTGCGTGTGAGCTGGTAACCATCAGGAAGCAGGTGGGCATGAGTGGCAGCAGGGAGCCACGGGCTGCCCATCCCAGGTTGCTCATGCTGAGCGGCTCTGTCCCTTGCTTGCCACAGGAATACCCACTGGCAGCCCTGGGGGGAGTCCCCTGCCACTGCGGCTTCCCCACCAGTCTCTTCCCCCTGCACGAGCGTGAGGATGAGCAGCTGTGTGCCCAGAAGTGCGGCGGTGAGGAGTTCGAGAGCTGCGGGACTGCCGAGTACTTCATCGTGTACCAGACGCAAGTGCAAGGTACGGAGAGCTGCGCCGGCTGCTGCCTCCACCTCCCATGGGGCTCTTTCCTCCTCATGGCTTTGACATGTGGCTGCTGGGGAGGCAGCGGGAGAAGTCTCTACCTCACCTCTTTCAGCAAGAGCAGAGACCCCAGGAACCCCAGAGCATGGCTGCTTAACCAGAGTTTGGCTAATGCTGGACACCACAAGGGTTAACTGGAAATAAGCTACGCAAATTGAGCTACATCAATTGCATAAGTCATTTTGAAATAGCTTATTTTGAACTAGGGAGCATCTACACGGCACTTATTTCAAAACAGAGCATTCTTCCTCTGACTTCCCTTACTCCTCCTACAATGAGGGTTACAGGAGTCGGAGTAAGAAGTCCTCCAGCTTCACAGTATTTCAACATAATTTCGAAATAACTGCCGGCTGTGTGGATGCAGATGAAGTTATTTCGAACTAATGCTAGTTAGTTCAAAATAATGTTGCTGTGTAGACGTACCCTTGGTGTCTTCCACCCGGCACAGGGCCTGGAGAGCGGTGCATGCTGAGCTCAGCTGCTCCCTTGGGATGCCCCCTTTCACAGCTTCTTAGCAGAGCCAGGTGGCTACCCAGAGACATGCTATCTCTACAACGCAGGGATGGGCTCACCCTTTCCACCACAGGGGTGGTGGTGGGACCAGCTCTGAGCTCATGAAAGGGGCAGGGCCTTGGGCAGATGGGGCAGGGCAAGGACAGCCAGCCCTCCGTGCCACCCAGGTGGTGTGGCACCCCTTCACCCTGCAGGCCCTCAGAGTCAGCTGGAGCATGCTGTGTGGGGCTCTGCAGAGCCTGCAGCAATTCTAAAGGGACCAGGGCTTTGATTGCCACTGAGGCTGGAGACCAGGCCCTACAACAACTGCCTGTTTTGCCTCCCCCACCCCCCATCTTCAGCAAGTCTGCTCCACTGAGAATAGGACCATTCCTTCTCTGCCTCTCAAAGACGTGTGCTCAGAATCCTAAGACTAGGACTTCAGACACCCCCCTGCCTAGCTGCATGCTGATCCTTAGTGGCCCCCCATTGGCCCCCTCCTGTCTGTCAGTGCACCTCTGGGGGAATGGGCTGATTGGAAAAGCAGCATGCTGCATGTCCACAGCAGCCTTTCCTACAAAGGGCTCATGTCCTAGTGGGAATGCTCGGACGGGGCTTGTCTACACTCGCAGCCGATCTTCTGGGATTTGAATGAGTGAGTCTAGCAAAGAGGGCTCCCTAATCGGCCCTGCTCCTCATGAGGAGTAAGGAAAGTCGGCGGGAGCTTGTGCGCTGTTTGGGCAGCACAAAGGCACCATTTCAGATACTTCGAGTCCAGCAACATAATTAACGAATCTCAAGTCGTTAGTGTAGACCAGGCCCCAGAGCGCAGCCGATCTTCTGGGATTTGAATGAGTGAGTCTAGCAAAGAGGGCTCCCTAATCGGCCCTGCTCCTCATGAGGAGTAAGGAAAGTCGGCGGGAGCTTGTGCGCTGTTTGGGCAGCACAAAGGCACCATTTCAGATACTTCGAGTCCAGCAACATAATTAACGAATCTCAAGTCGTTAGTGTAGACCAGGCCCCAGAGACTGTTCACTTCCTTTCAGAGTCAGCCAGGGGGATGTTTTGATGTGCTGATCCCCAGCAAAGGGCAACAAGCACCATTCAAGCGGAATTGCCTGCTTGGAGCATTGCCTGCTAGACCCAGGTGTTGCAAATTCTTGGGACATTGGTTCTCCAGCTCTCTAAGACCCTCTTAGGACGGGAAGATCACCGGATGGAGGCCACCTTCAGTGAGACCCCAGGACTTTGTGCGTTTACATTCAGCCTGGCACCTGGGCTCCATAGAACTAGACTATTGGCCCCCAAAGGCTCAGCACTAGCCGCTGATGGGCTCCTGCAGGAATTCTCCATTTCTGTTGTTTAGTGGTCCTAATCCACAGACAGAGAGTACAGTGACTCTGAATATTACACTGTGAGCAGGTGCCCCTGCCCCACCTGTGTTTCCTGTGGAGCTTTTCCTTTCCTTCTTTCTCCGGCATGGGAGTAAGCGGTGTGAGGAGGAAAGACACACTAACTGATCAGATGGACACATGCCTCTGCTGCAGATTTCAACTTTTCCATTCGTGTCCAAACTTGCCTTAGAATACATGAAGCTCTGAGCAGTCTGTCCCCCTAGATAAAATAACACGAGTTTCCAAATATCCATTTGGAGTTCATTAAAAATGACCATTTATTTCAATTTCCCAGGATATAAATCCTCCTTTGAACATGCGACTTTAATTACTGCTTAGATCAGACACAGGAAATAACAGTTTGCCATCTGCCTTTCACAGACTTCTTTCTTTCTCCCCCCTCCCCTTGTCACCGTGGATAAGTGACAGGCTAGAATAACCAATCTGGTCTTCTCCCGACATCCCAATGCACCTGCTGTCCAACGCGACCTCGGGGGAAGCAAGCAAGACTGCCTGAAAGCAAAATATAACAAATCCGGTCTCCTTTCCAAAGAAACACCCACTGTCCCAACTAGGCTGTTCGTTTCCTTTTCCCTGCAGCATTTTTTTCTTGTTTGGGCAGTTCTGATTTTCATAATATGGGATCATTGCATATCGGTCCCTCTGAATGCTTCCAGGCCCAGCATTTGGCAATGCTTTTCAGTTCTTCCCTTGCTTACCAAAAATAATTTTAGATTTCTAGAACTATCTGCTTTTTTCTTGTTCTTAGTCTGGTGACAATAGCAAAGACTGAGCATTAGCACATCTGGGTACAGCTCCTGGCACTGCTGTTGATGGGCCATTGGTGTCACTTAATTGCTTTGTGCCTCAGTTTTCCCAACCATAAAATTCCACTAATATTCCTCCCCGTGGGGCAATGAGGTATTATTAATCGATCCATGCTTGCCAAGCACTTTTAAATTCCTGTATGAGTACAAAACATTATTATCCTGTGAAAACTTGGCCCAAATGAAGGAGGAAAGCCCAGAGGTATCATGTTTGAAGACATCATTGCTTGCAAAATGTTGCGGTGGGGAGGTTACTGAAATAGAAGGAAATATCCTCAAACCTCCATAGACCATTTTGATTTTGTGACCTTGCCCTCATACTATTGGTTGCAACACAAAGTAGATACACACATGAAATTGCTCAGCGGAGAAATGCAAGAATACGCTTGTCTTCTGGTGAGCGAGTGAGAGATTTGCCTTTGTTTTCTGAGCACTCTCAGGAGTTCTCAGAGGCCATGCTAAGAGTAGATTTATCCAGTTACAATGCAGGATAACAGACTGTGGGTCAAGAAAGGAGAAAAGGAAAATCCAGTCCAGGAAATTAGAGGATAGAATCCTAAACAGAAAACTCAAGGGCTTTCCATTACAAGTGACTTCCCCCAGCTCCCATTCAAGGTCAGCTCCACCAAGGTTGTTCCAACAAAGTTAAGTAAATAAAAATGAAATCTCTGATGTGTATTCAAGGATATTCTTCTTTAATAGTTTTCATTAGGGCCCAAAGTAAGCAAAAGCTTGAAGGGCATCTGTAACCCAACATTTTTTTTCTTTTTTTCTGTACCATGGTTACTTTTGTTCTGTACAAAAGCTCCTGCAGGGACTTTCTCAAGCAGTTTTAGCTTTTGCTGGAAAATAAAAAGGGTAGAAGGTCTCCCATTAACATTTAGCATGGAGCTATCCAAGGAACTCACTACACTCTGCAAACATTAATTGTCCATTAAACTTCAGAGCTCTCTGGGAGGCAGGTAAGTCTGAGGATAGGACAAGAAGCAATGGGCTTAAATGGCAGCAAGGGAGGTTTAGGTTGGACATTAGGAAAAAACTTCCTGACTGTCAGGGTGGTTAAACACTGGAATAAATTGCCTGGGGAGGTTGTGGAATCTCCATGCTTGGAGATTTTACAGAGCAGGTTAGACAAACACCTGTCAGGGGTGGTCTAGATGGTGTTTGGTCCTGCCATGAGTGTAGGGGACTGAACTTACCTCTCGAGGTTCCTTCCAGTTCTGATTCTAGAACAGATGCACTGTTATTAGCACATGTGGTGTCCTTTGCTGCAGTCCATCTGCCTTCAGAAGGGGTCGCTATGTGATTGCGGAACTGGGTACCAGAAGAAAAATCTGTGCCAAACAGGAGTGTCAAAATTTGCCTGGCTTGGCTATAGAGATTCTTGTGCCACACAATACGTGTGCCCTGACTGACTGCCGTTTGGGGGGCAGGTCGATCTGTGTATCTTCCTATTGGCTGTTCTGGCTTTGGCACAGGACTTTGAACTCTGCTGGGGATCTTTTGGGAAATGATCATTTCCTTACATGTTTGTACAGTGAAATCTATCCAAGGGAAGGCCCCAGCAGGATCACTCCAATCCCTGCACGAATTCCCCTCCCGCTCTATGAATAGAACAAACCTCCAATCCCTATACAACTTCCCCTCACCTTCTATGCATAGATCCCAACCCACTTCCCCATCCCAATTAATGTCAGGGATGGTCTAAAACTTCCTCATTTCTAAGGAGGCATAGCTGGGATCCTGCCAGCCATCACAGCTGCAGATTTCTATTGTCCATGAAGGAACAATGTCTGTAAAATGTCAAGGAACAGGGACCCAAAAACCGCAGTGAATTTTTTATATAATAGCCAGTACATCTGATTTCCCCTGGCTTTCTCTTCTTGTTCTCACTGCTGGAACTATGTGGTTCATATGGCCTGCTGCCAAAGTGGAACCAGAAACTGCCAAGCCAGTCGCTATGTCACTGAAAAGGCCCCAATGGACACAGGAACTGACGGAAAAGTGCTTAGCTTGGGACACATCACACACAAACACGAGGCTGCGGAGGCAGCATCGAAGTAACAGAACCATTTCTTGACTGCTGCTCATGGCTCCAGACTTCATTAATAACCCTTGAGACAACACAAAGGAGATGAGATGGGATGGTACCTGGTGCGTTAGTCAATACACCGAGCCTTAGGCTCTTTCAGCTCCTGGTGCAGAAAAAGAGAATCTCCCCGTGGCCATTATGAACATGGTTCACTGAATGAGCATTTCCTGCATCTCTCCTGAGAACTGAAAACCTTTCTCCTGCCTATTTTAGTGTTGGACACTTATGTACAGCACCTTGACATATCTTCCATTTATTCTCTTTCTAGACAATCGTTGTATGGATAGACGGTTTTTACCAACCCGGTCGAAACAAATTATCGCTTTGGCAAGCTTTCCTGGGGCGGGCAACACTTGGGCACGTCATCTCATCGAGCTAGCAACAGGTTTCTACACTGGGAGCTATTACTTTGATGGCTCTCTCTACAACAAAGGTAAGAGGGGGAATGTGGCCTATAAGCTGTTAGGTTAAATAAGCTGTTAGGAGCAATGGGCTCAAGTTGCAGTGGGGGGAGGTCTAGGTTGGATATTAGGAAAAGCTATTTTCCTAGGAGGGTGAGGAAGCACTGGGATGGGTTCCTTAGGGAGGGGGTAGAATCTCCATCCCTAGAGGTTTTTAAGTCCCGGCTGGGATGATTTAGTAGGTGTTGGTCTGGCCCAAAGCACTCAACGGGGTTGAACTCAATGACCTTCTAAGGACTCTTCCGACCCTATGATTCTATAATTTTATGATGTTGTGGTTATGTTTTGGTTATAACTGGTTTAGCAGGGCATCTATAGTATAAGTAGAAATTGTATGCTTATTTGCTTACTAATAATTTTCCTCTCAGTAAAATTTGGTTCTATCATTCAAAGCATCACCCAAGCTCCTCTGCTAAAGTAGGTTTTGTCTACACTGGCATGTTTTTTCACCAAAGCCTGCCTTTTTTCAACAAAACAGTGAGGGCGTTCACACTGCAATGTGACTTTTGTCCAGAAACCCCCCCCAGTTTCGACAATAAAAACCTTCCACCCTGTGAGACACTTTTGTCTTTCCCTTCCCTTTATTGTTGACAAAGAGCGAGTGTGAACTCTGCGGTTTGTTTTATCGAGAGAACTGGCTTCCGCTAGTATCCTGCAATGCCTGCCCTGAGGCTTTGCTCAGTATTTTGTGATCTCTGCTGCCCTGCAGTCATGCACCCTCCCCTTTCAAAGCTCCGAGAAGTATCTGACAGCAGAGTGAGCTGCCCCTTTTGGGATACAAACAAAGAGCAAATTCTTGGAATGTTTCTGTTCTGCCCTGCTAGAAACACAGTGGGGAGGGCTGGAGAGTCTTCTGGGCTGCTTTGACACTCCTCAGCACAGAGAGCTCACAGAACTATGAGGGAATCCCAAGAAGTGCAGGGATCAGCTCTGTCTGCTTTGCTCTAGCTGTCAACTGGGAGCTAGCAATGTGGCCATGAAATGTGGACAATGGAAAGCAGAAAAACCAGTTTGACTGGATTTCACTTTTAGTGACTTTTGCACATTGATAGCACTTTTGCCACTAAACCTTCTGGGTGTAGACACAGCCATAAGTTGTCTGTAACCGCCTTAAAGGCTCAAACCTGAAAGCTAAATCTGATTTATTGCATTCTTAGCTTTAACAATTTAACGCTAATTGAAAATAAATAAAATGCAAGGTCACAGGCATCACTGGCAGCTTTGCTATCACTAGAACTTAAAATGTCCTAACAACAGAATCTGGATAACTTTAAGGGTTTCGGAAGAAAGATAAGGGAGGAGATTTCAATTTAAAAATACACTATTGTTATAAGGAAAGGAAATATGCTTTAGTAGTAAACAAATTCTTATGAAAACTTATTGACAGTCCAGTAGCTAGAATTCCATTGAAGTGAATGCATTTATTCCTGATTTACCCCTTCTTCCCAAAACTGATGTATGCTGGGGATAGTCTATAGCAGTGGTTCTCATTCAGAGGTATACCTACCTCTGGGGGTATGCAGAGATCTTCCAGGGGATATAGCACCTCATCTAGATATTTGCTTGGAAACAGGCCAAATTAAAAAATCAAAACAAGAAAAACACACTTGCAAAGTCAGTACAAGATAACATTTCAGATAGACAATGGCATGGGAATACTATTCTACATGCTATATCCCAAGGATTCTCAGCCCGGGAGTCCAAGGTTCTCTGGCGGGCTGCAAGCAGATATCAGGGGTCTGCCAATCAGGACTGGCGTTAGATATGCTGGGACCCAGGGCTCAAAGCCAAAGCTCCACTGCCTGGGGCTGCAGCTCAGACCTGAGCAACATAACTTCATGGGAGCCCCCCGTGGCACAGGTCTGAGCCAGTGCCTGGCTTCCTACCCCTAAGTTGGCCCTGACATTCATATGCACAAACTCAGCTGAAGTGGCCCAGGTGTGCCTCCAGTTCTCAGAGCATGTTGGGGAGGGCTCAGAAAGAAAAAGGTGAAGGACCCCTGCTCTGTTCTGTAATGGAAGTACAATGTTTCCAGCTGACGCATTGTGTGAGTCTATGGTGGAAAGGAGAAAGGACGCCGTCTTTCAGTCACAGCGCATGGTGCCACTTGGATATTTTTATGTCTGATTTCGTAAACAAATTTCGTTTTCAAGTGAGGTGGGACTTGGGGCATGCACAGGGGAGCGATAGCCTCTGCAGGGCCCTGGGCAAGGTTGGGGAAAGAGGCTGGCTCTGTGCTCCTAGAAGGGACAGGGCCTCAGTCAGAAGGGATGGAGTGTGGCATGCTCCCCTCCTACCCATCAGCAGCCTGTCACCAGCTCTCCAGTGGCTTCGCACATATTGAATAGTATGTGGAAAGTACTAGCAATGGAGGAATGGTCTATAATAGGGGTGGGCAAGAGGCTACCAGGATGCTGGATCTGGCCTACGGCCACCTCACCAGAACCCTTAGTCCTTGTTGGTGGGCATGGGAACACAAGACCAACCAGCCTCCTGAAAGGGGTACAGTAGTCTGGAAAGGCTGAGAGCAGGGTACTTCCTTTCAAAGCAGGCAGAGCTGGGCTCCAGACAGCCATCCCTGCTGCAGACTTGTGTGGTCAGTGAAGACGCAACGGCTGTAAAACATAAAGTAACAGGGACCTGAAAACCGCAGTTAATGGAAGGCCCGGGAGAAATGTAGCTGCCTGCTCACATCCCAGCATAAACAGATGATTTTTCCTTCTCTCTCCTCTCCTTGTCCTCTCTGCACAGACAGGCAGGCTGGAGCATTTCAAACCATCGCCATGGTATGGTGGATTTATCTCTAGGGATTCGCGTAGTGCCTTGTGAATGGCCACAAAGCCGTCTGGCCTTATTCAGGCCAATCTTCCTTTGGCTCCAGTAGGAATTTTGCCCGAGGAAAGACTTCAGGTTTTGGGCCACGTCTTGCCCCAAACTGGCAGTGGTATCTCCAAAGCTTGGGAGCGTCACTCCCTTGTGTTCCCGTTACATCGTTCTGTTGGCACGGTCCATCTATTAGTGCCTTGTGAATGGCCACAAAGCCGTCTGGCCTTATTCAGGCCAATCTTCCTTTGGCTCCAGTAGGAATTTTGCCCGAGGAAAGACTTCAGGTTTTGGGCCACGTCTTGCCCCAAACTGGCAGTGGTATCTCCAAAGCTTGGGAGCGTCACTCCCTTGTGTTCCCGTTACATCGTTCTGTTGGCACGGTCCATCTATCGCCCCCGCTGAGAAATGCCTGCCAAGATGACAATCTGCTAACATTAGATTTAAAAAAAATACATTACGACACCTCTGTGCCCAGCCCCAACAGAAAGCACATCATGCCCTGCTCTGGAAAGGTCTGAGGGCTGGGCCAGGCCATTTCATAGAGCCCTTGTGGGACCTGGTGCCGTTTAGCTCTGAATGAGGAGACTCTGAATTCACCCCTGTGTATCCACACACACCTTCCTGAGGGCTGGATTGTGGGCTGCCTTGCATGGCACCACAAGCAGGGGCAGATGATCATTTTGTGGGGCCCAGGGCAGCACAATTTCGCGGGGCCCCCCTTTGCCATGGCACATGCGCAGGGCTTCTTGAAGCGCGGGGCCCGGGGTGGCTGCCCCGCTCACCCTGCCCTATATCTGCCCCAGACCACAAGTCAGTAGGAGGGTAACTCCCTTCCACCAGCTACCTGGGGAGCAGGAAGAACAGCTTCTGTGGGACCAATGGGGAGGGTGAAGTGGGAGGTGGTGACTGTTTGGAGTCTTGGCTCACCCCAGCCCATTGGACCAGCTACTGTTGCTGTGCCCGCCCCCTGAGTGATGCATGCTACACCCAATATGGACCTAGTGCAGGGTACTTTCCCTGGGGAGACAGATTCTGAGACCCTCACACTGCCCATGGCTCTTGGCCATGGTCTGAGCCCCAAGTCAGTACATTCATTGTGGCATAAAAAAAAATCAATGTAGAATGGTCATGTTTGTGAGGCGGATCTCACTCATGGCCCATGCTGGGGACTGCTACTTCTCGTCTCAGCTGGAAGAGCTCGGAATTTGTCAAGCCTACTGCAGATTGTCTGAACCAAACGCCAGGGTACAAACTGCTGCTTATAAAAAAATTTGGGGTCTTATAATGGACTCTATCCCCTCCCCTTAACTGGGTATTATACCCTGTTGTTCCTATCCTCCCATTGATTACCATATCCATTTTGTAATATGTTAGTACTAAACTGGATTCTAATGTGTCACCCCAAGATCATCCCTCTAAACTCATGATTCATTAAGGATTTTTTTAAAAAAACCCTCCCGTGGGAGACTAAGACAGTGCAGTTAGCAATCTCCATCCTCTGACAGAGCATAAGAAGAATTCAGTAACTACGCACAACAATAACAAAAAAAGCACCGTTACATCAATCAATCTGAGATAATCTCCCAGGCAGAGAGGAAAACTGCTGCAAGTTAACTTAATGATACTGCAAAGCAAGGCTGCATGCTGGCTGGCCATGACTACAAAACAGAGACGTCCTGCGTTAACAGTCGAGTAGAGGGAGCAGAAAGCGCTGGCTTTCATGGATCTGATAGCCTTGCAATGGGGTGCCCAAATTGCTAACGAAAACTATCACAGACATCAAGTGAGAAGAGCCAAAACAGATAATCCGAGGGGTCACCTGATGAAACCTCCCTGTGGCTAGCAGAATCGCAGCCCACCCAGATTAAACAGAATCGAGCCAGTTCATCTCTCTTTGCACACAAACCCCTTTCAAAGGACACGGGGCATCCAGCCTTGTGGAACTCCCCTAAACCCATTCTGTCTGGAGCCACTGTGGGCAGGGATTGCCAAAGGGACCAGTGGCCGTTTAATGGGGCCTGATTCTAAGAAGTGACGGCTGCGTGTCATTTTTAGTGGCACTTGAGCAGCTGCTTGAAGCTGGCCACGGGCTTTGTTCATAGCTACATCGATTCTGAGGCCACTCGGGTCTGACCTCCTCGATCGC